TGACGCATTATACGAAACTTAATATTATATACTTTGTATTTTTGTTACATCGAATCGTGTGGTGGCTGAGAGTCACCTCTCGAGTGCAAAGGGTTAAAGGGATACTCGTGAATCCTTGAAGTGGCAGAGATTGAATTTATCAAGGGAAGAGGAAAGTTACCTATCGCTGAGCTGGATGCTCCAATGACGTCACCTTTTAGCACCGTTGATGACTGGTCGCAGAAAGAAGATTCCTTTTCAATCTGACGCCACAGCGTTCTCGGATATTCGTCGACTTGAAGTGAAACATACCGATTTCGGAAGCTACAGCGTTTCCTGCGAGAAGTTTCGATCGAATCACGCGAACTCTCGTCAACCCTTGAACCATGTTTCTCGCGTAATGACCGGTATACAGGTGATAACGAGTACATTCGTCGAACACCGTTGAAAAGTACCGAACCGTGTAATGATTCAATGAATTCTTTTTGTACCAACGCAAAAAGGCATTCCACTTGACTCCCACTGATCGAACTTCAACCCCTTGTTCTATGATTGATTTTTCAACCGTGATCGATACAACTGCTTCACCGTTAATAATTTACTGAAAAAAAGAGATTTACGTCGACGCGTTAACCCCTTGCACTATTTCCTTCTCAACGATGCGACTACTTTGTCGTTAATAGAAAGAGTTCTAGGCATATTCTATGTTTCCTTCTAAATATAGTAACTTCGCAGAATATTTACTTCGAATTCGAACGAACCGAGTAGTATTTGTTGAATCACGTTGAAAATCACCGCGAGTCTGGCACGTGGTTATAAGGCAAGGGTTTAAATTCCATTTGAAATCTTCACCGCGGTGTTACACGTTATCACGTGGTAAGGGTTTAACCCTTTGCACTCGAGAGGTGACTCTCAGTCACATGATTCGACGCAGCAAACTCATAAAATTCTCAATTCAATATTAAACCTTGTGCAACGTATCAACACATAAAACATCGAAGTAAAATAGTTCTGCCTCTTAATTTATAGATCAATTGTGTTGCGAAGAATATCGTTAATATTCAGTCAGAAAGTAATATCTTTAATGAAAAATATCGTCGAGTGCAAAGGGTTAATCACTCGACAGCAAGAAATCAGTGCATAGTTCTTATTCTCCATTATTCAAGTATTCGATATCTAATTTCGCAGAACCTGCGAAAGGTTTTAGCTTTAGAGAATGTTCGTCAAAGGGTTAATTATCTTCATTTCACAAGACGTTCATTGTTTTCGAATATAAGTCCGTACAACGAAGAGCACTCCAAAATGGCTGGCTTCGCCGTCTAGTGTCCGGTCGCCGATCGAGCGTTTCCGTTAGGTTCGCGAGTCTCCGCTGAAAAACCGCCTGTTCGCATAGAAAAAGGTGAAATTCCGGATTGAATATTCGATTCGCGAACTGGCGCGAAACGGCGGCGGCACATGGAAGACGGCGTCGGTGCGTGTTGGAAAAGCGGCGGATCTATGAATGGAGGCGAGCCTCGGATCAGTCGGCAAGCAAGGACGACTAATTATAGCGTTAGTATCTCTCAGCTTCGTTTTGTACATTAACCACGCACCGTCTATGCATATATACGTACGTATATACACGTACACACGTATATACATGTGCACCGTGTGCGTATATAATATGTACACATACAGGGTGTCCAATTAATGCTAATAGGCACGGTCAACAAACAGGGTGATCCGTGAAAATGTCATTCGAAAGAGATCGTTCCGCGAGAAGCTTCGCTTCTTAAGAGATCGAACGCAAAAATGATCGCTGAATTACCGCGATTCGTTACAATTATTTGAAGAACATTCTGCACTGCAATCAGTGTAACACGACTCGGTGTTATTCGGCAAGATAAACGTGCGAACGATAACGCAGCTCGGATACTTCGATATTATATTTGTCTTATTATGTGCGTCCCGCTTCAGTGTTTAATGCTAACGAAACTTGACACGTTTACTAATTACTCGCCAACGTTGGATTCATGGGACTCTATGGATATTAAACTTGCTGACTATTTAACAAAACTTCCAGTCGATCCTCATCGATGAGGCTCTAAGATCTATACGAACGCCTTATCTAAAACCAACGCGCACAGAACGTTCCATTGCAACCGAGTAGATTTCAGATTGATAATTCACTTAACGTATCGCTAAATCGATTGCTTCATTCCTAACAGAAGCGTCCGTTACAGTTCCAACAACCTCGAAAGACGAATCTAGAGACTTCCTCCGCCCCTTTCGGCAGTCGCAGCGTTAGCTCGAATATTAATCAACCTCGCGGAAATCTTCCGGAGCCGACGCGAACGAGCGAGTCTTATCGATCACACGCCGGGACCGGCGCACACAAAAAAGGAAAACACGTACAAGTATATATCGCATTCGGAACATTGAATTTCGAGACACACGGGGTACTCCTGCAATAGAGGACGCGACCCAGTTTAACGGTGACGTAAAGCGGCTCAGGATTGAAATTCAGGAAGGACACGCGCCTCGGCGAATCGCTGCTAGTCTTCGTTCCCCTCCCCCTCTCCTCTCCTCGTCTCCCACTTGCATATCCCGGTTGCTCGGCTACGCTCGCCTACTTTCTTCGAAATATGAATTTCAAACCGGCCGAGAGAGGGGCGGAAGGGGAGAGGCGCGGCACAGGCAGGAGGCGAGGAAACGAGAAGAAAGAAAGAAAGAAAGAAAAGTATTTCGCGGCGTGTGTCGAGTGTTCGCCGGCGTGTTCCATCCTTGACCCGCTCGCGCGCGGCGCGGTACAACACACGATGCCCTGTAATTATATCATCGCGTAGCCTGAATGTGCCTGGGACGCATCGACCCATTTTTCCGCCGGAGGAACGCTCTCGACGCCGACGCCCCGGTGGATGGTCGCTTCCTCGGATCGCGGAGAGCGGAACGCCACTGGGTCACAGCCGGCGGACCGACCGGTGTTTTTCCAATCGGAGCGAAGTTCCGGGGAAACTTTCGCGAGGCGGGAGCGGGGCGGGTCGGCTCGGGCGGACGCAGGAAACCGTTCGATCGAGATTGTTCACCCTCCGCGGATCTAAGACACTTCTAGGTTCCTCGCTCTGAACCTCGCGTCGACGTTCGATTCACTTGCAGTCCTGGAACTACCACGCAGACGGACTTTCCAAAATTTCTATAGAAACCCCAGGATACTGTCGATGCGTCTATCGAGACTTCGATCGATGGTTTGCGTATAAAACAATTTCTTCAGAAATTTCTTCGGTAGTTGTAAAAGAATTTTGGAATGGGTCATTTGATCTTAGTTCTAGTGTTGACACGGTTGATTACGCGTTCGGCGCTTTGATTAGCAAGTAAACACTCGAAACTCCTGCGCCGAAAGTTTCCTTGACACTAGATTTACGGACGTTTATTCTATACTTTATTCTATTGTTCTTAGAAAACTACGCGTTCGTCTATGTAAATCGAGAAAATTGTAGCTTCGAAACTAGAGCGTTGCAATGCGTATTCGCCAATGCGAATCAAAATCGACTGAAACTATTACTAAATACTGTTCGAACAGTTCAATATCCGTCAAATTGACGGGCTCCGTAAATCTAGAGTTAACGAAGCAGAAACTAAACAGGTATTCTTCGGAACGGTTACTATCTTTCTGATATCTCGTACAGCGAATAAAATTTCGTTCGATACGTCACCGAGACAATGAATGTTTCAGTTTATGTTAACAATGGCGTCAGCCGAGTCCGGGTGACGTGGCAGTCGAAGTATTAAGAACATTCGAAGCACCCTCGCAGTGGGTTGCGCCTTTCAATTGTTTCACGCGATATTCTCAGGGGTGCGAAGAGAAATTACGGGTGCGTCGATGATCCCCGGGCAGTTTCTCGGTCGTCCGATGGGTCCTGTCGTTAACGACATCGATTAGCTGCCGATAATTCGTCTGTCGTCGCACAGGCCGGCCGGCGGAGGCAGATCGAGCAGAAATTCAGTTAACGTGTCGAACAAGCCCGCCCAATTTGCCGGCGGTTGCGTCACGCGCTGTAACTCGACATGCGAGGCGTGTAAAACTCATTTCTTTGCGCGAGACGTGAATTCGTAGGCATCGATTCCCGGCGTGATAACGATTCCACCGAGCTCGAAATTAGTAGCTCGTTAAACTCTCCGCGTAACGTGTTGCCGCGACCTTTTGACGCCTGAACGTTCAATAAATGCGCGATACTCGCAGTCCAATTACCAGTTCCGGAGGTAACTTGTATAACACGAATTAGCGTCGCCGTTAAATGCCAATTAAAGATGCAATTAAAGTTTCACGAAGTCTGCGGAGCTCAGCGGCGACGGGGGAAGCTGATTCGAGGGGACTCTGCCCTCCGCGCAGCGAGTTCTCCGCGCAGAAAGGGGTTCCGTGAACCGCGGAACTCTCCGACGAGCATCTGGACTCGTTTAAATTGCTCCGGACAGAGGCACAGCGAGCCAACAGGTGACCAGATGCGCGCCGAGGTCGAGGAAACCGGAGGAATTCTGCGGGGAAATGATTCACCGGCTTCCCGGATATCGCGGCGACGATCCGGACGTCTCCGCGAGCGAAGAGACGCTCGAAACGCGGCGGAAAATGTGTCGAAAGCTCGCTCATAAATCTCTCCGGCGTGCCGTTCATTGTCTTCCTTTACGGTCGGCGTCGAGTGCCGCGCGTACCTGACCGCTACGTCACCTCCGTTTACGTTCGTGACCGGGTCTATTTTCAGCGTCATTAGTGCCTTTCGGGCGACTCAATTTAATTGTCCGGTGATCCCTTCAACACCCTCGGGACCGGGCCGCTGGTCATTAGTACGAAATACCGTTCCAAAAGTAGCGCGAATCTTCGCTCGCCGGAGGCGAGGTCCGCCGCGGTTTTATCCGGCTGACGAGACGCTCATGAGACACCCGGATCGCCCCTTAGGTGTAACAGCGTTTCCTCCTACTTTCATTTCTCATTCGCCGCGCGAGTCGGAGGGAAGAATGCATGTTGCGCCGGAAGAACGTAATAGAACTTAACGAACTCGGGTATAGCACCCTTTTATTAATTCTTCACATGTACACATGGTAAGAAACATCTAAACGTCTATGGTTATTCGTAGAAAACATTTGTCCGCCGATAGAAGAGTAGGTCGCGTGGCGTTATTAATATACGATGGAAGAGAAGAAACATAGAAACGAAACCTCTGCCGAGGAATGTCGAATGTCTGTGATACAGTGTGCGCGAGTGCGTATATATGTGTTTGTGTGTGAATCTGTTGGTGGATTCTTATCCCTACGCGTGTTCATCGATTACAAAGCATGCTGTATTACGGATTTAGGAAACGGTGACACGAAAAGCGAGCGAGATTAGAAGTATTTCTCCAGATTGCTCCGCAGTTTACTCGGGTCCACGTTCGGACCGTGTCTCTCCACCACTTTGCCCTCCTTGTCCACGATGAACTTGGTGAAGTTCCATTTGATGAAGCTGCCCAAGGTACCTCCTTGCTCCTTCTTCAGATACTTCCACAGCGGGTGCGTGTTCTCGCCGTTCACGTCGATCTTGTCGAACAAGTCGAACTTCACCTGAAACGAGGATCTCTAATGAATCTACAGTTTCCCGACTTTAACGCTAGATTACCGAGCATTTGAACTAACGTTTGAGAATTTCATTATAAAAACTACAAACGTGGATTTATTGAGATTTGAATTGATTTAAATTTCAGCTCAGGTATTACTTAACCAGCTTCTTTAGTAATTTCTCAGAGGTATTCATATCTCTTCAGTAATCGCAAAGGAAACAATCAAGGAACTATTGTTGGTAGTTCTAGTGTTATTATTATCTTCCACGAAGGAAGAATTCCAGTGAATTTTCTTCGTGTCGTAACATTGTATACTTATCTCCTAGGTCTGAGCTGAAGTCTTTGAAGAATTTTTATCTATGCTACTTTGTCTTATTGTCAGATGTGCACATTGCTCGAATCATTCCGCCATTAAAAATTGAAAACATTGGAATACCTTTTGTCGGTTGGCGAAGCTGCATATTTCTTCGTTATCTCCTGGCTCCTGTCCATTGAACTGATTGCAAGGGAAGGCCAAAATTCGTAAACCTGTGGATACATTGATTTATAGATCCGTGGGTCATTCTTTAATTCCTGCTTGAAAACAAAAATCCTTTTATTTCATAGTACCTTTGGATTCTGCGTACTCGTCGTACAGCTCATTTAATTCTTTGTAATTCGTTGCCGTGAGACCACATTTCGAGGCCACGTTCACTATCAGACACACGTGATCTTTGTAACTGTAACGCATTATCATTATTATTACGAATGTATTTCCCACCATATTTTTATCTGAAATAATTCGACGGCTTACTTGGATAAGGGGACATCCTCGCCCTTGATGGACTTCGCGGTGAAATCGTAAATCGATTTCGCCTCCTTGTAATTTTCGTTTCCGCTCATGGCCGCCGCTGTAACTGAAATCGACCGATACGTGATAACATTAATACATCTGCCGGACTAGACGAGCTCCGTCTGTTTGTAAATGTGCATTTCTACCAGCGCAACAAAAAAAGCGCGAGGACGATATTAATGAACTGATAACAAGCGGCAAAGGAATAAGAAATACTCATTATTAAATATTTATCGTTTCTAAATAATTACTGCCGAGGCTGCGATCGGTCTTTTAATTCGCCGACGATAATTAACAATCGGTGGAAACGCTCGTTCCAACCGTGACGCGCGTTATGTATTCTGAATTTAGTCGATTCGAATTTAATATGCCGGATCGTGAAATAGCAGAGTCACGTTCACCTGACGCCGGTCGATAAAAGTTGACCAGAGTCATTTGTACGCCAATGAATTAAAAGGTAATAAATTTAGAACAAAATTTTCATCGAGCAAATGACAACTAACACACACTTTTCCATTCAGTGAAATGCGAAGGTTAGAAAGACGCGTAAACCGAACCCTAACCTTAACATAACGTACGTAATAATTACTGAAAATTCTTCATAATGAATACACATCGTGACACTAATCGATTTGTCATTGCTACGCACGACTACATATAATCGTAGCTTATTTTTGAATATTTAAACTCGATATCGTATAAACTAATTGCTCGTTTCTATTTATTTATAATTAACGGAAACATACACTCGTTTTAATCACTTAAGATGAACAAAATATGGCGGGAGCGTTATTTACTTTGTTGTATTAGTATTATAAAGATATATAATTGCGAATTTAAATGACACTGTCTTTAGGCGTAACCTGTTAATCAGATGACATTCGCCATGAATATCGTCCACGAATAATTTGTGCCAGTTAATTTGTAATTTGTTAATTTGTAATTTGTTAATTTGTGTTTGTAATTTCCCCGAAGTAACGAGTTAGTATCATGCAGTAAATAATAAAGATCTCTTCGATTCGATTCTTGCAAGGGAGATAGCAACCGTATTAAATTTCATCCTCGGGCAAAAAATCGCACTACCGTTATTTTGTTCTCACAGTAAAGCGGATACAGGTGGGCAGGTGTTAAACTTATCGAGTTACATGCCTGCAAAAGTTCGGATAACTTGAGTAAAGCCCACCGGCAGCACCAATTTTATAAAATGCATTTCTTCGTTTGTAGTGCGTAGTATGCGTATGCGACTGTGTTCCTGAAACTGTCAGTGCAAACACTGTGGTATAATCTTTACGGTGTGACTAATTTGAGGCAAATGTTTACCATACGGTGTCAACTTTTGCCGAGAATTTTTGCGACTCGGCAGAAATTTAGGTTGTATCGTAGGTTGAGTAACAGTAAAATCGAAGAGTCGAAGAATTTATTCGATATCTTTATTCCGATCGATATGATAACTATAAAAAGATAAGATTGTAGATGACTATTATTTTTCTTTATTTGGACTCTGCCCCGAACGAATTATGAGTAATGGAATAATATGCAAATGTCCTTTTATTGACGCGTAATTTATCGTGAATTCTCATGCAAGGTTCAAAATTTTGCGCACAACGTAATCGATTGCCATCTGTCGTCCGTGGAGCAAACCTCGACGAATCTGTAGCATCAGATTACACGAGTCGCCAATATTTTACGCAGAATCATGTTAAACTTTAGTCGTGAATATCCCTAAGTTGACGATGAAAACATTGATGATAAAATTGTGGTGCTCATTGGTGCACATTGAATACGAATTAAACGAATCTTACCGACAATTTGCTGACAAATCTTGCAATGGGAAAACGTGAACCGTACACTGGCAGCTCTGCTTTTGCACTGATGAGCCGGCTGCGGCTACTAGCGTCTATCGGCTTACTCACACACTGTTGATATATACTTGTGTATGATACATAGTGAGTCCTTCGTTACGGAAGAAAATGACTTTCATATTTTGCCCGCCTCAATTCTCTATTAGTCATATGAAGATGATGGCGATTTTTAAGGACAGTAAGACCTTAATTGATTTATTATTTTATACTTTCTAGGTTATCGTCTTGGTGCCTGCATCAATGCGTAATAGATGCACCCATTTGCATTCTTCGAGTGACATTGTATTCATCTTTGATAATGAACTTGTTTATGTCACTTCTCGTTGACGAGATTAAATTCTTGTATGAAAAACAACTATTGTCAAGCATAAAAGATAGGTCAATAATGGACTTTCGTTTATTTTTAGTACGTTGGTTCCGTGGAAACTATTCAGGGATAAGTTGAATGAGGTTCATCCCATTAGTTCTGTACTGCAAGCCATGGCATTGAAATCCACGATAGACCTTACGTGCAATGATTACATCTCGAACTTTGAGTTTGATGTGTTTACAAGGTAAGCTCTCAAGTATGATAACTGACCATTGCATAATGTTATTGGAACAATGTTAATGATATTCCAACTTCTACAGGTTATTTCAACCATGGTCTACACTCTTACGTAACTGGCAAATTTTGGCTGTGACTCATCCTGGATACGTAGCTTTCCTTACTTATGACGAAGTGAAAGCACGTTTACAAAAGTATTGCAGACCTGGAAGTTATGTATTCCGATTAAGTTGTACAAGGTTAGGACAATGGGCTATCGGTTATGTCACCTCTGATGGGGACATTCTTCAAACCATACCTCACAATAAAAGTTTATGTCAAGCCTTGCTTGATGGATATCGGGAAGGCTTGTAAGTTTCTTTAAAATTCTTTTTTGCTCTATACATAGTAATTGAGTTCTAAATGAATTCCTAATGTTCAAACATTCCATTTCAGTTACTTGTATCCTGATGGTCATAATGTGAATCCAGACTTGACATGGGCAGTGCAACCTACCCCAGAGGAACATATAAAAGTTACTGCAGAACAATATGAATTGTACTGTGAAATGGGTAGCACATTCCAGTTGTGTAAAATTTGTGCAGAGAATGACAAAGATGTGAGGATAGAACCCTGTGGACACCTACTCTGTACTCCGTGTTTAACAGCTTGGCAGGTATTAGAATTAATGTTACCTTTTGTATCTTTTATTGTTAAAAAGAAACGTTGTAAAGAAGGAATTGTATCTTGCATCAGAGGGAAAGAAGAGGAGTAGGAAATGAGACATGAAATTCTCGTGTTGCTTGCTCAGAATAAATAAATATATTTTCATTTTATTTTGATTTCGGTTCACAGGACTCTGAAGGACAAGGTTGTCCGTTTTGTCGAGCTGAAATAAAAGGAACAGAACAGATAGTCATTGATCCATTCGATCCTCGAAGAACACATCGACCAGGAACACATTCAGCGTCTGCTAGTAACGCGTCAACCCCCACACGGGATCTTGACCCAGACACCGAGGTATCCGACTAGGAGTAGCATCTACCCTCATTACATTAAATGTGCTCTATGTATAACACAACTTCTCCCAGCAACATGCCTCATTTTTTTGAAGAATGAATGCTTCACGCATTTCACGCGAGATCTCGAAATTTTATACGATCGTCATGTCATATCATTTATAGGATAATCACCGAGACGCGTCACCTCTCGCGAGGTACGTAAGCTTAAACAATAATCACGACAGAAGTCGCACGAGTGAATGTTCAAAAAGCGAACAATGTAAAAAGGGACCAACTTTTTCGTCTCTATGTAAGCTTTGTCCGAATCACATTTTCTTTTTTTTTTCATTATCCATTTTTTTTTCG